CCTTAACCTTAATACCGCTATCATTAAATAAATGGAATAAGCTTAGATAAATAATAAAAGTTAATTTTTCCCTCGTGTAATTTTCAAGGAATAATATGTTTCGATCAAACAGATTTCATTCTGGAAATAGCGAAATTATTGAGTAGGTCCCTTGGAGCAATATCATTCTTATCCTCTTTTGACGAAATATAGGAAAAATTAGTTTTCACAGTTTCTGTAAAAAGTATGTTAGCCTACTTGCCACGTTTTTTTTTAAATTTTTTTTTATTAAAATAAGGTCGGAAATTGTGTATTGTGTGCACAGCTTCGGAATCCTTACAAATTTCAATTTTTAGTATTTCCTGATTAACAAAATAAGGCATTTTCCTGATAACAAATTATACTACAATAATATCTTGGAAATCATGCTAAAGTAAAAAATTAAACAAAATAGTTTAGTATATTATCAGAAAAAAAATCTACTTGGTATCATAAAGAGTAAAAGATATAATGAAATAATTAGTGAATCACACGTGGTCAGATAATTAAAAATTTAATTTCACAACTAAGATAGTAGGACGACATTTAAGATACTGAGATATTTTAAGACACTAAAAAAATTGGCTACGTATTCCACAGCTTTTTATGTTCGGTATCTTTATCCTCTTTGTAGTGACTTATAAAACATCAACACTATTTTAGATAATCTAAGTTGAAGTCACAAGAAACAAAAAAAAAAAAAAGACAATCAATAATTTATATTCTTTTTTCAAAAAAATAGTATGCTAAGTAAATAATCAGCTGTTTTGCATTAAATAATTTTAAACAGCTGAATGTTTTTAATTTCTTAACAAGGTTTTATTCTTAGCTAGCAGACAATAATTCTTTAAAAAAAACTTGACTATAATTTGAAAAGGAAACCTAAATTAAAGAAAATCTAAATTAAAGTTCTAAAAAAATTATTAGTATATTAATGAAGAAATAATAAACGTAAAATGGAAAAGAATAAGAATTTTAAAATGTTAAAATTTTATTAAATAGTTGGTAAAATAGTTCTGCGATACACTTCCGGAAATTTCTTTTAAGATTAGGATGATATAGGGTAAACCAACAAATGAAGGAGCATTTCATAGATATTTCTTAGAAATAAGATTTTAAACGTTTTAATTTAGATTGATTGGTAAGAGTAGCTTACTACCTAACAATAGGAAGTCCTTTAACAATGCATTTAGTTATCTGGTCTTTGAGTCTTCTCTGGAAAAAGTTTTGAATTTGTTAGTATCTGTTCAACGCCTTGTTTCTTTGACAAAATTATAAGGTCAGTGTTTGTTGTTATCCGTTTAAACTACAATTAATTGCATATAATAATGCTTTTTCTTTTCATTGTGAAAAAAAGAATTCAAAATATGGTCATTGAAGTTACGTTTTATTTATTTTAAGCATCATAACATAAGCAAGTACTGAGATTAGGGGGTGTTTATTAACTGGATTACAGAACGATGAAAAACCAATGTATAAACAAGTGTTCCTTTACTGGGATTTTTTCAAGTTAATGAAAATAAAAGAAAAATTTTAATTTTCTTGTACCTTTTGTCATATTATAAATCAAAATTATGTTAAAAAAAAAAAAAAAAAAAACAACTTCTAACCAGTGAAGGAACAGGCATGTTCCTTCACTGAGAATAGATTTCCCAGTGAATGAATAGTATGTGTGAAATATGATTTTACTTGGATAATTAGTAGTTCAGCGACATAGAGGACTCCTAAAATTCAGTTAAATGTTGTATGAATAGTTCCTATAACTATTTCATTTAAATATGCAAATTTAATTGCTAAATTTATTTAAAGAATTATAATAATAATTAATTTATTATTTATCTTTATAAATGTAGTGATTAGTTATTACATCATACCTTAGACTCCTTAATAAACTATGTTTATTAACTAAATATAACAACTAAATATAATAATAAAAGCTTGAATGGAATCTTTGCAGGATTTTGTGCCAATAATTAGCTAAATTATTATCCTATTGCCGTCTTTAATGTCCTAACGGGAACTGGTAGGAAAAATCCATTTAAAGACAATTATCTAGGTGAAAAATGGGTGAAGTTTTTTTAAGGTGACATCCACCGATAACTCAGTGCAATGCGAAGATAATTTCAAAAGGCAAAACTTCCCTTAGAGAATAATATTCGAAATACTGGTTTTAAGAACTTCAGAGAATCTTTAGGAGGGAAGTAGCCCTGGCATCCTTTTATAAAGTGATTGCATTTACAATGCGAATGAAACAAGAGTTGAATACTGCCCTTAAACGGGAAAAATCTGCGGCCTTAAAAATTATAAGGATTTATATTCTAAAGTACCTAGGAAAGAAAAAGTACCTCCATTGGTAGTTTTTCCTTACAGAAGAATTCGTAGAGATATTACAGAATCAGTCCCTGCTACATATTTCATTGGAAAAAGCTATTCATGAAATGAAACGATGACCGCAGCAACATTTTACAAATATATTGCAAATGTTTCTACCCATGGCTAATTAAAAATGCAATCAAATTCCTAATTTTGCTTCTTCTGGATAGGTATAAATCTCATATCAATTTGAAACTGAGCAAGTTTTGTTCCTCAAAACAAATTTTCTGGTTTAGTTTTCTACGTAATTCTTGGAAATCTCGTTAGATCTTGAAAACAAAAGAATTGTAAAACAATATGTCTAGAAAATTTTACATCCATTTTTAAATAAGATTTGAGGCATCAACTGATGAAGTTAAAATGCTTTTATGAAATGCGATATTTTTTCATTCGATGTAGAAAACGTTGACTGTAACAAATGCATGCAAAACAGACACCAAGAGTTAATGAGCAAGACAACTTATCAACAAAACACATGCTTCGAGAGTAACGATGCGCTATTTCTTCAGAAGCTTGAGAAGGAAATCTCACAAGTTATGTTGCAAATTTTTAAAGGAACATTGACAGAAAAGTTTAATCTCCCAAATATCCAATAGCCTGCGCTTTTCTCAATATTGAAGAATTTATTTCAAAAAGAACAATTGTATAATCAAATTTTGGCTCTGAAGCTGAGACAACTAACATTAATAATGAAAGTATCTTGAAAACCGATTTTGAGATAAGTCCTCTTGAGGCATTGTTAGTTGCAAAAACGATTGGTTTCATAAGTAACTACTAGATATAAGTCAATGAGAGATGGGTTTTACTCAAACTTCGAAACTCCTTTTTCTCATTTATTATCCAGTGAGGAATTCTGGAAATGGAACTGGAAAATCAAAAGAAATTTCGAAGATACATTTACATTGGCCAAAAATTTGGAAAAAAGAGGAAGGTTAAATCAAAAGAAAAAGAAATAAATTACTCATGACGAAGAGAAAAAAAATACTTAAAAAGATTTAAAAAAAAGCTTAAAAAATATGAGGAAAAGATTAAACAAAAAAATGATCGAATTATAATAATAATAAAAACATCATCAGATTACACAATGATAAACATTCATAATTTAGAACGGACTATTAAACTGTGAGAAAAAAATGAAAAACATTTTTTTAAAATTATGTATTCAAACATATTTTACTTTCCATTCCATGACTGAAAAAAAAGTAATATTTTCTACATTAACTATGGTTATATGTCGTAATTCCAAGAAAAATATTGTTTTTTTTATACATTTGTGTGGCCTATGGATTCCTAACGAGCATCAAACATTCTCAAAATCAAGTGTTCATTCACTGGAAAATTTTGTGTTTATTCACTGGAAAGAACTGTTCCTTCACTTGGTTATCTTACTACTTATTATTTAAACCACCAAAAGCTTAAAACAATATTATGCAAGTTATCTAAAGTTTTTTTACATAATTTGCATTTAATAACAAATATGTTGACACCATCATTTAACTAAAATTACAAATTTTGAAATTTTTATGATTTTTTTTAAGGGCAAGCTAAGCTTAAGTGTTCCTTCATCGGTTAGTTTAGCCTATAAGATGTTGAGAAATCACTTGAAAACAAATCGCAATGCTTAAATTTTAAATAACATGAATATGAATCACAATGTGAAATTTTTAAATTGAATCGAGTACAAATCTTAATGTTAAAATCGTGAGAATAAGAATCTCAATCCTTGATTTTTAAATCCTGTGAAAAAAAATAACAAAGTGTTTGAGCATAAAATGCAGTTGATATGAGGACTGGAAGATCACATGTGTGACTCGCAAATCGAAATTAAATTGCTATTGTAGTTTGCAAATCAGGTCAATATGAATAAAGCAAAATTAGATTAGAAAAACATAGAATGAGTAATAAATCACGCGAATATTAATCCTAAATCACTTTAATACAAATAGTGATTAGAAATTCGTAATTCAAGAAAAATATAAGTGAAACTAAAAGAATTGAATTTTGCCTGTTAGAGATATAATAACATAGAAAATCAAGCAGAAATTATAAAAAAAATTTAATTATTCCTATTAATATAATTAGAATAACAATTAATAAGAGATAACAAATTTAGAGCAGCAAACTAATTTCAAAGTCGAAGAAAACAAACAAAACTGTCAACAAAATCTATGAACAAAAATGAAGATTATTATGATGAAATTCTGACAGCAAAGATCATCATCATCAACTGAAAACTTTCCAAGAGGAAACAGATAGTATTTTATCAACCCTAAGGAGAAAAGTAACTCCCTTCTCCGTTGCCATTTTTTAAATCAATTAGGGCCATCTAGAAAATCCCTTTGCTGAAAAAGCGCAACTTTTTCCATGAAGCTAATTGAATTTTTCTTAAAAATGAACAAAAATTTCTGCAAATTTTAGGTATTGGAAAAGAAAAAATACTGGAATTTTGGTGTTATACCAGGACACAATCATTCCTGTTTTAAACATAAAATTATATTAAATGTAGTATTTTAAATTTTTGATAGGTGCATTGATTTATACTACTTTATTGCAACAATAAAATTAAAAATCACAGAAGTAATAAGGAGGAACAAAATATATCAAGTCTATTGAATATTCAACATAAATTTTATTCATTTATAATATTCATTAATAATGTTACACATAACACAGATTTACATGCTTTGGATAAAATTAGCATTGAATATATCAATAGTCCATGAGTTTCACACCATCGTTAAAAATACTATTTAGTGTGTGCTAAAACTAGAAAAATGAGATACTTATTAAAAACATTTAAAATAATAATCAATCACTTTTCATAATGGGTACAGAAATGTAGTTAATTAAAAAATTCATAAAACAAGTAGAATGGAAATGTAAAAAAAATTCTTTTTCTCTAGGCACTTCATTTTTCTCTTAAAAGATAACTACATGCACTGCAAGCTGTTTAATGCCACGTCAGGTTGAAAGGTTGTAAGAGATTAGCAACAGGATTTAAACCAACAGATATGCCATTCTGAAAATAATAAATTGAACAATAAGAACAAATATAGAAATTATTTTTAGATTTCTAAGAGTTTTAGATTTAAAAATGTCACTTAAAATAAGTCTTTTTACTATCTTAAAAAAACATAATATAGGCACACACTAAAAAAATAAATATGTTACCAGCAAAGTATAAAACACTAACATTCTATAGAATGCGTAGGCATTTTATATAATGCCGAATGTTTTTAGGCAAGGTATGAAATATGAGAAGTACCATACTTTCCCTAAATATTGTATATAATACCTAGGCATTCTATAGAATGACAAATTCTATTTAGGCAAAGTATGAAAAAAAACATCCTGATGAGGTTATTATGTAAATGATGTGCACTTCTCTAAAATAAAAATGTTATTCTGAAAAAATAATGAGAGTACCATTAAATTTTTTTTTATTCAAAATGGGTAAAGAAAAATGAAAGTTGTACAAAACATAATTTACGCCTTTCTTATTAAGGGAAACAAAATTTTCAAATAAGAGATTAACCAACTTGTTGGAACATGACAGGCTTGAATGACATTTTGAATTACATTTCATTACATTACGAAACAAATCAGAGATGTATCGTATACTTTGCCGGTTTCTCATTTGGCATTCTATAGAATGTCTAGGAAATGTGTGAAATATTAATCGTTTTATACATTGCCGGCCAGCTTTAGGCATTACATACAATGCCTAGTCATTATACAGAATGCCGGATTTCAAACTTTGCAGGTACCATATATATAAAATAAAAATATATAAATATTTAAACATTGCAATTCTACAGTACAGTTCTCAAAAATATCCCTGCATAGCTTTTTATGTATCAAACCTAATGATATATCAAATTTTTTAAATACTATCAAGGAAGTGTCAAAATAATCAAAAAGGTAGTAAAATCAAGTGAAAGATAATTTTGATACCTAATCTGATTTCATCAAATCTGAAACATAATTCTAACAGAAAGGATAAAAGCATGACATGTTTTAATTTTTTTTTTATCTGCCTCTTAGATAAAGCATAATTATGCTCCAAGCTTATCTGAATGAATACTATAAATTATTTTATTTCGTGAAAACAATTTGGACTCTCTTTTTAATTAATATTTTCACATCAATCTTTTGGACTATATGATAAAAAAATGAAAATCATTCATCCAGTTAAATTGTTTTTAAAATGCTGAATATTTAACAGAACCTACCAGAATGGTGCATTCCTAATATACTTACGGGAAACATAGGAGAATAGACACATTCTGCATCCTTTGGAAGAGAATGCTTAGTCAGCCAAAAAAGTTTTCTATGAGCAGACTCATTTGGTACATCTTCAGACAGGCTCTAATAAAATCAAGACTTCAATTCAATTAAATGTCAAAATCAAAGATAAATTCAATAATAAATTCAGAAATAACAAGATTTAGAAAGATTTTTAAAAAAAATGTTAAACTATTGTTAATAATTTTCAAATCAATGCATTTTTTCAAATGGTATATTTATGAAAATTGAATTTTATAACAATACAAATTAGTGGAGAATATTAGGAAGGCCTGTAAATACTATTCAAAAATAGAGCAAACAAATTTTAAAAAAAACTCTTAAAATTTTACTAAAAACTTTATTTTAGCAACAAAAAAAAAGTGAGTTTTTTAAAAATATTGTCAAATGTGTGCTTATTATGAGTGTTGTCAAAACTTATAGCACACCTTAAAAAAACTTGATATTTTTGCCCATCCCCTATTTTGCCTGATTAACCACATCAAAGCATATTTTAAGATATTTTCAATAAATGGCCACTAAGGCCAAACCAGTTAAGACATGTATACATATTTTACTCTTCTCGCGTAAAACGCAATATCATTTCATTAGTTGTTTATCTAATCTAAACAATGCAGTAAAAAAGAAAGAATAATAATTGCATTTTATTTTGTAAGTAAATATAATATTAACAAAATACATAATGGAAGCTAGTTGACATGTGTACTGAGATTTAGTCCCCATCCCACTTTCCTATTATATACTCATTGAAAGGCAACAAAACACAGTAATTAGTGAAATAGATGTAAAAACCATGTTGGAATAACATTGTCTCCAAATTTGACGTGAACATATCATTTTAAATAGTGATGTCCTAATTCAGGCGTGCCTAGTTGAGATGGTAGACAAAAATTAAGGTGGTGAGCAGGGCACGACTTAGCCTAATTGTAGCCAGGGGCAATAACTTCTTTGGGGATCCCTCTGCTGCACTATTTCAGTAATGAAAAACCAAACTTTATGGAGGTATTTAAAATTTTACACCTCATTATAGATAACAAGAAAATTGATTAGAACCTAAAATAGCCCCCCCCCCCTCCGATGGTCAGATGAAAAATCACTCTGTCCAATTTATTGATTTTCTGACAATTCTTTGTCCATCATACTGAATTCAGTTTACTGATTGTTAACTTTGTCATCTAGTCGCGAAAAAATCAGATCCTTGCTGACATTAGGGCGGAATTCAGCTAAATTTTTGCAATTACGATGGCTCACTTAAGCCAATCAGAAGCCTGTATTTTTGTAAACATATCGCATTTTGCGATATGTAAAAATACAGACTGTTGATTGGCCAAATTTGTCCATCGTAATTGCAGAAATTTAGCTGAATTCCGCACAAGAAAGTCATGGATTTACGAAATATAGATTTTTTGCGTCTATACGATAGATTAATGAAGAAACTGATGCATTTTACACACCACTGAAATTTTGCTTAAAAAAAGTTCTACTCCAAACTTTCTATTCGATTTGGGGGGCCCCTCTGTGGGGAATGGGACAAATGCCCCATACGCCCCTGCCTTAGTCAGGCTCTGGTGGTGAGTGGAAAAAGACTCGCTTATCATTTTAATTTGGTGCGGTGATTTCATATTTGATGATACAAATTAGTTTGGTTTCCAAATAAGTAACTAAATATATTTTATAAGCCAAATATAAAACAAAATAGTAATTTATATTAAATATTCCTTTAATTTTTGGCAGCTGAGAAAGGTTTTATTTATTTAAAAAAAATTTCTCCCTAAAATAGGATATACAGTTGAAGATATAATACTTTAACACACTTAATGTAAAATATCTTTTAAGGTGAACTCAAATACTTACTTTCTATAAGGCATTTAACAAGAGAAAATAAAGGAAACCAACTTTAACAATGTTGACAAATTAGTTGTTCTTTTGGCTTAAATGCTAGGAAAATGACATTTTTCCATGCCGGGGATTTAGCATTTTTTAAAAATACTATTTCTGCCACAAAGTTCTAGAGACAGAATTAGGATTAAGAAATTTCCTTTATTAGAATCACACTATTCCACATAACAATAATTTTTTTAAAATAAAGATGCTTTTCTGTATAATAGAAATGTTGTACAGAAAAGTGACAGCAGAAACTGTTACACATCTTAGTTGAGAACTTCAAATCAATGATGTGAACGTTGGGTGAATCTGATGTTAAAAGCATTTTATGTATGCAACAAAAAAGAGAAAATGCGCATGGTTGCAATGTGCAAGATTGAAAAATTTTCTCTCCTCCCGTCAAATTATAGAAAATTTCCCGCGCCAAGAGAATGGACAAACTTCTGAATGATACAACTTGGTGAACTTAATAATTAAACAGTTTAAAAAAATATTATTTTATACTTTTATGTAAACGTAGTTTATACTTTAAATGTAGAAATGCTGGCATAAAAATTTTAAATAAATTAAATTAGTTTAAGAAAAAGTTTCTGACAAGCTATGAGAGTGACATTTAGGTAGTATTAAAATTTTTCTTAGAAATTGAAAACCCTTTTTATATGTATGGACATATATATATACACTACCCTTTTTATATATATGTACACTCGGAGGAAGAGAAATAGTAAATAAAAACTTTTAATTTCAAGCCTATTTTGTTTGTTTGTTTGTTATGTTTGTGGAGAATTACCCAGGTTCAAAATCGTCTCATACTTAACGAGTTTCTACAGGCTAATTTCCCTGAGATCCATGATACCAGTGAGAGGGACGCAATAAGTTTATGCAATAATATCAGTTTAATTCAGAGACGAGACTAGTGGTCAATATAACAACAATACAAGATAATTGCATCACAAATAAGTTATATTACCTTCTTCATGCAGTCAGTACCATTGAAAGACACTTTTGTAGGCGGTGAGTTCATTCCCAGTATTTGAATATTGTAAAGCATCATATTATCTTCATATTTGTCCCTAATTATTTCATTTCGTAGAACATTCTAAAGAAAGAACAATACTTAATAAAATATAAAAAAATTTAAAATAAGATTATAAAACCGTAAGAAGTTTAATAATAAAAATCAAACAAAATAAAAACAACAATCAGAACAGGCAAGTAGAATTTCAAATGATATTTTAATAGAGTAAAAGAAAGAAAATTCAATACCATCTTTGACAGTCTGCAAACAACAAGGGAAAGAAAATAATATTACAAACAATGTGCCATCATTGTCTTTACACCAGATCATATATATATATTTTTTTTAAATTTAAAATACTATGGTCAAAACTTTTAAATTAAGATGTTCATTTACACTGAGGCACTAAAATGATGGAAATTTCTGCCGAAATTTAAAATGATTGAAAAGTTTAATTTTTTCAAAAAAATGAAATTTTCACTTTAACAAAAGCAATATTTCACAAACAGAAAAATAAAAGAAAGAGACTGAAAGTAAGATAATATCACAAGATGTGTCCATTAATAATGTTCAGGAAATTATTAGCAACAATAAAACTGCTGTTTTAACAAATAAAAACAAAATTTATACTTTTTAAATATTTGCCATGATAGAAAACAATTAAACAAAATTAATTTAAAAGTATTTTTCAAAAAGTTATATATTGCAAAAAAAAATAAAAATATTAATTGAAAATCGTTGAAAGAAATAAATTCTGACAAGAAAAATTCAAAAAATAGAAAGTCATAAAGTAATAACTCACTCTTGTATTACTTAAGCAAAAACTTAATTTGTCAGTATAACTTGTTTTATCTCTGAGTGCTCCAAATCTCTTTAAAAAGATAAATTAGTTTTGTTTTTGTGTTTACCTTAAAATTTTAATAAACTTAAACAAAAAATTGTGATTTAATGCCTGCACATTCATTTCAGTTCTTTTTAATTGTTTGATTAAGAATGAGATCATAGCTGTAATGCACAGAAAAATCTAAATCTGATCTCAATCATTGACTGCCTGCACATTCATTTCAGTTCTTTTTAATTGTTTGATTAAAAATGAGATCATAGAGGTAATGCACAGCAATCTAAATCATCTAAGCAATCATTTTATAAAATAGTTATAAGTATATGACAATAAAAATATATTTAAAATAAATTTTACACTTTACTTTTAAAAGCATTTTATCATTTTTAACATTAGAAAATATACATATAAAAAGAAATAGCTTGATAGAAAAAAATTCTTTGATTATCGAGTTAATCAATTTTGATGGTTATCACACGGTTAATCTTATAAATAAAATTTTTCCTTAATTCTCTACATGTTTCAAGAAAAATATAAAAATTCCAGATCACATCTTTTCTTATACATGACAATATTTTGAAAAAGGCAATGAAACATAGATTGATAAAAAATTTCACAATAAGTTACATTTTGTCAGAAACAAATTTCCACTAAGCGAAGACTTAAAATATAGATTCTACAATACATAAGTATATAAATAAATATAAAAGTGACATTTTCTTCAAGAATTGGTCGTACAGCCATCATACATATAACTTGCAAATTGAGAACCAAATTTAATGTATACAAAAAGCTTAATTTTTAAAACTAATTAGAACTATTTTAGTAAATAGTATTGATAAACTGCAAATATGTTGTGATTTAAAAATTTTAAACAAAAAACAATTAAAACGTATTTAATATTAATATTCTAATTTTAATAAATTATAGAAAATTCAACCTCACAGTAACAAAATTTTAACAAGAAGTAACGTGAATAAATGTTAGACTTATTTACTTCATCCTCACGAGTTACTTATTGTAGCTGAGAATTTTTATGATTGGTTGTTTTCCTGCAAAAATGCATCAGTTTTTTTTTTTTTTACTTTTTCACCAAAAAAAATTTTTTTGACAATTCAAGGTTGCCATGGAATACAATAAGCATTCTCTACAATCAATATTAAATGAAAAACTATTACTGACCTTGGAAGCTGAAAAATGGAGGAGATTGTATTCCCCATTCTCAAAAGTTTCTAAAATAGAAGGAAAATATAAGAGTTGATGCAAATAAAATATTGATAAATGCATAAAAATAAATATTCAAAATGTTACATATTTAGAATCCTCAAAAAGAAAAAAAAAACTATCAGGGGCAGAAAATTACTATTTACTATGTATATAGTGTAAAAATATTTCTGTTGAACATATTAAAAAATTTCAAAATATTCAACTCAAGCGCTTTTATAAAATATACAATTACAACTTATTATGTATCATCTGAAACCATTAAAAGTATAACATTATATTATTATTAGAATATATTATTATTAGAATCTATTATTATTAGAATATATTATTATAAGAATATATTATTATTATATATATTATTAGTAGTATATTATAAGTATGCTGCCAGTATTCCAAAATGATTTTAATCAACTTTTAACTTTAATAATTTTGAGATTTATAAATTAGAATTTATTAAAAAACTTAGCCATCGTTTTAAAAATACTACACTTCAGTTATATTTAACCTACTCCCTCTGCTATTTTGCCTAAAGGGAAACACTCTCCGCTTTGAAGCTCTGACATGCATGAAACATTTTATGTACCTTAGATTATGGAAGGAATATTCTAGTCATGGGTTAACCTCGTGCCCCAGGTCCTTTTATTATGCCTAGGGATTATGTGTCACTAAGACATGCTTCTCATATGCCTTTTAAGATAAATTTTCCTTCTACAGATGAATGGCTAAAACCTCCTCGGTAGCTTGGGGGAAATCGTCTCGTATGGTAAACTGATGGATCAACAGTAAATCAGGTGCAGGTATTTACAGATTCTCGGAGGGTCAGAGACAAGCAATAAAATTAAATTGTAACTACCCCAGTGTGTGTCAAAAAGAGCTTCTCAAGTTCAAAAGGAATGGCTTGAGGAAGATTATTAGGGTTCTCTGTACCCTCAAATAACACCTCTACATTATGGGTATAGTTATATGGGTTTTATAGCTGTAACTTCGTTACAGCTATAAAACTTTTTTGCTCGTCATTATCTAAGGTTTGGGTACAATAGACGTCTGTTTGATGTGTCTTGCTCTCCAGAGCAGCCCAACCTCCAAGTCTAGGAGTCTGATTTGAATTTCCCATGTTACAATAATATCAGGATTTTAAAAAATCATGTGAAAATCAGCAGCAATAACTGCCAGAAAAAAAATTTGAAACACAGCATGAATTTAGCATAAATCAAGCAGGTCAAAGTGGATTTCAAACTTTGATTCTTAATTATATCATGTGAAAATATCAGGATTTAAAAATAACAGATATCAGGAACGATAACTATAAAAAAGTATATTGAAAAAAAAGTGGTATTGTTGCAACAAAAGCGACTAATAAATGCACAAATTAAATTTAGCTTGTCGGAATAATAATGTATAAAGGAATTCGTAGAGTAGGAATTTTAAAAAAAAATATTAGAGAATTCATAGTTATAAAAACTAATAAAACGATTGAAATGCTGCATGGATTTAAAATGGTATTGACTTAAATAGAGAGCATCAAATATGATTACTCAAATGCATGATATTGGAATAATAATAACTAATAATAAAAGAATTGTAAAAAATGTGAGCATATCAATAAATAGCATTAACTTCAAATTATGATTACCAACCAGGCTATCTCAGCGCCATTTAACATTAATTACACATTCGATAAGTCCAAAAAATGGGTAGGTTATTTGAAGCAAATAATAAATAAAACTTAGCAGAGAAATTTTTGTATGTATATCAATAGTAAAAGTGTTTAAATATATCTCAATAATATTTTGAATACCTAAAGAATCACCATCATCCCAGTATAGTTCTCCCTCAGATTCTCCATTTTGATTCAAAACAACACATAAAACAAAGGGATTTTGACGACTGAAAATAACAATCAAAATTAGGAGAATTCATAATTTTTAGTAAAACATATTAAAAACAACCCTAGCAACAATTTTAAATTGGCCCCAGTTTAGCTTAAAATTGGCTCAATATAGCTTCTAAAAGAACATGCATCAAAGGACCAATAATGGGATGTCTAGATTTTATAATGGTGGTCCTAGAATGACCTATATAGGGCCAGTATAGGTTGAATAAGTAATATGAAATATCAGGTGAATCTGACAATTTTATATAGGGTCGATACTTGTTGTAAAGTGGCTGTAAAATATAGGGTGAATTGGACGATTCTACCTAGGGTCAATATTGGAAAAATAACAACCCTTTGAACTCTTATTGAGCCAAAATTCCTGAATATTGATCCAATGAGGGTTGAAGTTGCTAGGGAAACAATACAACATTAGATAATAAAAATTACTAAAATTTTTCAAAAAATAACCCATTTCAGAGATCACAGATTCATAATATATAATTTCACAGTTAAAATATTTTATTATCTTATGTTGTAAAATGATAAGAAAATGAAAAAAATATTTTAAAAAATGTAACAAAAAACAAATAGTTAAAGAGCATGTTTTAATACACATTTGAACTTTATAAAACCAAATATATAGACTATTTTATTTCAAAAGATGTTAATAATTCTCTAAAATCTCAGATGTTGAAAAAAAAAATAATATGCAGCTAGGAGAAAAAACAAATACATTTGAAGTTGTAATAACCTCGTAAGTATTTTTATTAATTTTTTTTTGGCCAGCACTGTTTATTTTTGAAAAAATTTTAAATAACATGTTCAAAATCCTACGTGAAATAAAATTTAATTTTTTTTTTAAAAAAAACTGTAGCATATACACAAGAATTACCGACTGAAGTCTGTAAAGCACTACTCCAAAACATTTCTTTTTACATACTCAATATAATAAAATTTGATTTGCGTTATAAACTAAGATAAATGAAAAAATAAAAAGGGCCAGTATGAAAAGGAAGATCACAGGGGTACTTTAGGATTACAGGGACTATATTGCTGTGCCAAAGGTGGTGGATACAGAGGAATAATGTGATTATAAAATGTTGAAAAGTTTAGCAAGTAGAGTGAAACCTCTCGGGGGGGCAACCACTCTCCGTTCCACATTAAAATAGTTGTTGATGGAGGTTGGTCGTTGTTAGAGGTTACCTCCACAGACTTCAAAATTTTTATTAAAGGTACACAATTTTTAGAAAACGCTTTTAATTTTAATCAGTGTTATTTTCTTGATCCAGAAAAGCCACTTCTGGCGGCGGCACGAAAAGACGTATCGAAGAACAAACTTTAACATCTATAGAAATGATCCCAACTGATATAATTATGTTTTAAAAACAAATTTATCAATTATGAATGATAAAGATATTTTAAATAAATAAACAATTATGTTTTTTGCTTAAAGTTTGCATTTAATTTTATATCATAAAAATAAGTTAGCTTTAAAAGATGAGAAGAGGTGCGTTTGATTTTTTGAAAATAACTTTCTTTTCTAATTTAACTTTCAACTCTATAAGTAAATCATTGATAGCCTCGTCTTTGGTGCAATCTGATTGAAACATGTGGTTTTATCATCCAAAAGAGCTCTCTAAATAAGAGCCTCACAGAAATATGTTGAATACTGTCACATTGATGTGTGACGATTTTTTTAATTATATTAATTTAATCCTTCATCGAACTATTTTTACACGCCCATACAAATCCTCTGGAGGATTTGTATAGGCATGTAAAAATTGTTCGATGAAGGATTAAATTAATATAATTAAAAAAATCCTTGACCATATTTTATCTCTCGTAGGAGAAATGAGTTATTGACCTTGGACCTTTAAATTGGGTAATTTGTTGGTCAGCACCAATGCTTTGTTCTGATACCACTTTTGATGCTTTGGCCATTAGAATGTTTTGTTTGATTACTCTAATTTAATTGGTGTTGTCAAGTTAACATTGCATTGACTAACTTCTCGACTGAACACCCCTGTCCTATATATATTTTTTTGTCTAGACACATATACGTACTTTTTCTATTGGATCGATAAAATTGAAGGAATGGTTTATGATTGAATGATTATGAAGGAATGGTTATGAAGGAATGGTTGGGGATTGTACCACTCTATCCTTTAAGTTATTCTCCATTGGCATATGAGTAAATCACTCATTGGTAATTTAATGTTTTTATCACCTTTAATACACACGAATGTCATAATAAGTAAAATCTCAACTTTCTCATTGGTAGAAATACTATTTAATATCTGTTTTGTTAAATTTGTTTTAAATATTTTTTTTTTGTGTTTCCTTATTTGACCTTTTCTGCATTTGGTGGAGATATTTTCTCGGTCGCTGGGAGAGGTTTTAATGGTTTCTTCTAGAGGTTTTTTCTTCAACACAAAGTCTACGAAAAAAATTCTGTGCCTCCTAAAAGTAGTTGTAATTACAGGTGGTCGTTACATAGAGCTGGTTTTTCTTGGAGGTTTCACTGTAATGTTTAATAAAATAACAATTGCGTTTATTTCCATCAGGTTTTTATACCATTAACAAAATAGTAGAAATCTTTCATATACTGTGATGAAGGTGTAGATAAAATATAACTTTAAGTTTAAGCACAAATTTAAATAAGGGGAAAAGTTGCACAGTTCTTGTTCTGGCTATTATAAATCTAAAAATATGTACACACTATTTTTTCTTTCACTATTGCTGTCAAACAACAAAATATTTATGACATAAAACATTGATGCTTAACATAATGTGATACTTTTTAAATATTGCTGATCACTACAGAAATTTCTTCTAGAATACAGGGTTAAATAAAGAACAGAATAAAAATAAATAAATACGAAAAATAGAACACACTGGAGAAAAAGAAAAAACTAAAAGTTATCAACACAATTATTTAGCAATAAATATTATAAGAAGAGTGTTGATTTTAAATAGACAAAATTTAACGTAGTGTAAGAAATTTAACAGTTTTTCAACCTAAACTTGAAAAGCTTAAATATTAATAAAAAGTATTATCTTACATTTTTAAGCTATATACAGAATCTATATGAGATGTTATAATGATTTATTTTTAATTTGAATTTATTTTATACTAATTTACCTAAAAAAAAATATCATAAATAGATTGAAATTGTGTGAACATATAATATTTTTAGTTCACTGAATATTTTGTCATTAGAAAGAATTTTATATTGAAAAAAAAATTACTACTTTGTTAAGAGTTTTCTCAACTGGTCATATTTTTTTAGCTTTTTTTAATCAAATTAAATTATTTTAAAATTAAGTTTGTTTCAAGCATCCTTCTATTATTATTATTATTATTATTTAATTTAGACGAATTAACGAACAAAATTTGATCTTTGCATTTCTTTTTGTCTTGAAAAGAAAAAAAAAACAGGCTTTTAAAGACAGAAATTACACTTATTAAGAAATTACACCAACTAGGATTGAATTCTTAAACTCGTAGCCTTTCAAAATTCATTCATAGTCAAATAATCCAAAATGTAATTTTTATTTTCTCTGGTAAACATTTTTTTTTTTTTTTGTGAAAAACGTTGAAGATGAACCTAGAAAAAATAACTTTTCTCTGCTATCATTTAAAATTTATACAGTTTTCTTCAATATTTTATTTATTCATTAAATTCAAAACATTAAAATATCTGATGATGATTTATTTAAAATTTAATAGTAAAAATTTTATTTGCTGCACCCTTTAACAATTTTTACGAGGTTAGTAAAACAGAATCCTGTAAAATTTAAAAGCAGCAGCACTATTGTGGGGAAAAAACATTCTACCGAATCTGTTACTTGATTACTAATGAAAAAGGTTGTATGTATACCCTAGAACTAAAACACATAATTTAAAGAAAAAGATGGATATCAAATTTTAAAAAATATGATTACCAGTTTTTTACCTACAAAATTCTTAAAATTAAGGCGTTTCTTAGTTTCCTGGGCATAAATGATTAAAGAACGGGTAAATACTTTCATTTATACGCTAATTCATATGATGTAGAATATGAAGTACTGCAACTTGGCAACGCAATTTCAAAATAGGATGTAATTTGAATACCATGGTAGTTTATCTTTTGAATTAGTTTTTAAGCACTTTTTTATCAATCAAATGACATGAAAATTTTACTTAGGCTTAAAAAATTCTAAATACTTACAAAATTTTATACCTTACAATTCACAGCTTTTTTCATCATTAACAAATTAATTAATAAAAATTATTTAATTAATTTAAATTCCCTATTATATTACATCTTTGAGTTGAGGACTTGTAATTTTCTGTGAAAGGATTATTGTAGTTTAGCCAATCATTTAAGACATATGATGAGAAATGTGACACATTAAAATAAAATTGAGTTTAGTAATTTAACATAACATAATTGGACAGAATTTTGCATACTTTAAAATAATTTTTGAACCATTATAGTGGTTAAACTATAAAAGCCAGCTTTTCAAGACTTTGTCTATTACCCCTATTTTAAGGGTGAATCTGAATTCAATGAAAAAAAAGGTATGTTTCTACAGAAGAGTATACTTTCTGTCAAAATACATATTCCGCTACAGTTACAGTTAACATATTTTAAGAGATTTCTTTGAGATATTAACAAAGCACTTTACAGAATGAAAATCCAACCAACCGTTCAAAAGTTATGTGTGTGATCACCTTCTTTTGTACATAAATATTTACATGCATATACATAGATATATATTTTACTTTTTACATTAGGTAGAAACTTTTTCTAAAAAAAGTTGGTCATTCGCAGTTTAATAATCATTGTGGGGGTTGTGAGATATAGACAATGTCAACCTTCATGTATAAAAAAAGGAACCCCACCATAGAATCGAGTTAACATGTCTTATATACTAGTGAATTGGAATTATAATTTTTGCAGAGGAATTATAGTTTTGCTAAGGTACTCTATCACCAGAATTATTTCTGTGATAGAATTTGATGAACGGATACCACTAGTTAATTCATTTCTGTTTTGTGAGAAACCAGGAGAGCTGTATTAAGATCACCTTACTTTTTGACTGCTGTTTGTGAGAGCTGTATTAAGTTCACAGTCATGTCACTCCTGTGTTGCCTTTAGCAGTCGAGTGTATAGGTTGTGTCTGATCGAGACAGAGAAGCAACAGCGTGAGGAGGTTAATGTAGCAATCACAATAGTAATTCAACTGTTCAATATGGACCATTCATCGAAGTACGCTTGTTCAAATCATAGTGAGCGTTTCTACCTAGGTAGGCGTGTTCACATCACATCCAAAGGTCACCAATGTGGGAAGTGGTGTTGTCGTGAATGTCAACCTTCATTTATGAAAAGGACCCCACTGCAGAATCAAGTTAACATGTCTTATATACTAGTGAATTGGAATTATATTTTTGTAGTAGAATTATAGTTTTGCTGCAATCAATATTACATTTTTTTCTTTAAAAATTCCTTCTCCTTTTTTCACTTGAGTTGAAACCTATTACTTATGAGTTAGTTTTCTCCATAGTTCATTGTGGAAGAGAGAAGGTCAAAGTGGTGGTTCATAGTGGAAGAAGTGGATAGTGGAATAGTTCATTGTGGAAAAGATAAATCATTGTGGAATTGTGGCAACTTGGGTGTTAATGAGTAAAATGATAGTTAAAAAAAACATTTAAAATAGCAGAAAATCAAACTGTTGAAAGGTTACCTTTTAGTAGTCGTAGAAGAATCACGCTGAGCAGGTAAAATGTAACCACCCCTCACACCTATTATAATAGTAACATTATCAATTCTGAAAGTGTGGTTTTCACCTTTACTCAGAATCATTTCAGGAGTTAGCCCACCTATATACCACACACTTTCAGGTAAGTATGCTGTAACATTAATAACCTCCTTAAAAAAAGAAAAAGTAGTTTAGTAAAGACTAGTAACTAGTCAAATTAACACATCACATATTTCAATTCAATAATTTAACACAATCAATACACACATCATTATTAAAATCATTATTTGTCAAATGAGACATTTTGTTGGTATTATGGAGAAAGGGTCAAGTAATCAGGAATAGTATCAGGAGTTCTTAGAAATGTAATTAGAAGGAGAAATTGTAGAATTTTTTGTCTTGAAATTTGGAGAATCAGAAAATGATTGAAATATGACAATTTTTATAATAGTGAAGATATAGCTTCCAATTTTGCTTGTAGCAGTCAAGAAATATATTAAACTCATAGAGTCATCTAGCAGAGAGCACTGAGGGAGACTTGAGAATTGCCAATCAGAAAAAGTTCAGAATTTTATATGAATATAAGTTTCCTGGAGCAATTAATTCTGATTGTAACAGTCATGAAATGATTAATACTTGTACTGTGATTCAGAACTGAGTTCTAAAAGAGATTTGAGAAATCTAGTTAATCAGAAAGTAATCAGAATTTTGATTGACAATAAATTCTTCTTACAGAAGTCAGGAAACATTAGGAGCTTGTATTGCAATTAGGCATAGATTTTCAAAAGTAATTCAAATACTCCACTAAGAAAGAAAGAGTTAGGAATTTACGATGGCAGTAAACTCTACTTAGCAAAACATTTTGTTTGTAATGGTCAGAAAATTATTGAAATTTGCATAGTGATAAGGCACAGAGCTTTTGTAGAGATTTTTTAAGCGAGTTAAAAGGTCATCAAAATTTTGATTGCAAGATTACACGCTCATAGAAACAAAAATAAGTTAATAAAGATGTAGTAAAATGCATACCTCACATGTTTTTTTTTTAAATAGCCTTATGAAAAGAACTTAGCAGAATAAATTAATTCTCTAAATTATAACTTATCTTAAAATGTTCTTAATCCTAGAAAATTATGTAGAGGAGGCCATGCCACGGAAGAAAATTTTCGTTGCAAATTCTTTTTCTTCATTATTACTAATTTAAAATAAAATAAAAATAAGTTCAGGTAAATCTAGAGTAAGTCATGAAGTTTAAATTGCTGAAAAAAATATTTTAAAATAATAAAATGCAAATAAATTATTAGAAGAGAGCTTCACCGTTGCGTAATCTTAAATAATCATCTCATAATTTATTCTCATTTGTTTATTTTCAGATTTTCTTTTCAGTATTTGAGCCTTCATAACTTACTTTAGGTTTTTCTAAACTCACTTTTTCTTCACTTTACATTTTAAATTAGTAATGAAGGGAAAAGAGAATTTGAGAGGAAAATTTTCTTCCTTGACATGGCATCCTTTTAAAACATCATTCAACAATTATATGAATTAGAAATATATATAAAAAATACACATTACAGGATAAAGGGCTGGTATAATCATTAAACCTGGACCCCATAAAAACACTTCATCTTGATTGTAAGTATTTATATCATCAGGAAATCTAGAATAAAAATTCAATAATTATTTTATATAAGGTACACAAAATGAATAAAATACTTGTAAGCGTCAGGAATAGCACAACCAATTTTTGGAAGTTCTTATCCGTGAAACTATTTCCAGACTAATTTTATCGAATTTCCTTGATTTTTGCAACCTGTGGTGTAAATTTTGTTATTAATTCTTAAGTTATGTATATTACATAATAGTTACACTTGCTATTAGAGTTCAAACAGAAAGAAAAAAAACTTATAAAATGAATGCAAAACAATTATTTTAAGAAAGATATTGTATGTTTAGGTATCTTTAACTGAAACTAATTAATTTTCCCTGATTTTTTTTAGAACTTTAATTCCCTGCATTACCCTTATTTTTCTCAGATTGATAAAATTCCCTGACATTTATCATTTATCTCTGATTTTCTTGTTCTGTGGCTACACTGAATCAGTATTAGTTGTTAGCTAAGTCACAGAACAGATACAAAAATGAAATCTTGAATATATGCCATTATAATAGCTAAGTCAAAACAGAAACTTGACATTATAATAAGTTTTTGCCTTTTTCATCATCTCTGTTGAGCTGATTGAATTATTAAAACAAAATTAAAAATAAAAATGAGTGAATTACTCCTCTGTAAGTTACAACAATTCATTATTTATAGAATTGTCAAATTGATTCAGTTTTCAACTAATTCATTAAATTATTAATTCTTTTCAGGGTGATCTAATCAAAGAGTTTGCCCCAAGCACACCCCTGACTTGCAGTCTACTAATCGGAAACTGCAAGAGAAATATTTAGTTAAATATGAATACATAAATTAATGGGTCATATATATAATTGAAAATATTACTCAAAAAAGGTGGGTCTCACAACAGTCTCTCCATAAGCATGGCTGCGGTAGAATAAAGTATACAAATAAGGCAATATAAAGTATCGCTGAGTTAATGCATTTCTTGTTGCTTCTATAACTGTGGGACCAAGTGCTGCCGGATCTTGTTCCTGCATAAATATGCATTTTCTTAAATAAATTTTTTTTAAAAGAAGGCATTTGTAATTCCTTTAAATTAACAAAAAAATTTTAAATATCTTAAGATTTCACTATATAAAACAGGTATTAGAGTGCAAAAAAGGAGAAACAAAGATATTTTAAATTGTATTTTTTAACATTGTATTTTTTTAATAAAAAAATAATAATATTGCTAGAAAAAAAAAGATAAGAAAACACTTGTAAGATAAGAAGAACTAAACAAAATATTAATTAAGAAGATTATTTTGTGTACACCATAAAATATCATAGAATAAAAAATATCAAATTTAATAAAAATAATTTAATAAAAACAATAATTTACAATAATGATAATTTTTAATAAGAGGATTTGTACATAGCTAATAAATCAACAGGTCAGGAGACAGCAGTTAGGTCAAATTACCAACACCTAACCTTAATCTCTAATTAGTTGACGTTCTATTCAAATTAGTTTTTATATATTTTTAAAAACATATGACTGAAAATTTCCTTTGGCAAAGTTATTTCTTAGCAGTCTCAGATGAAATATAAAAAGTAAAACTTGTAGAATAAGTATAATTAGGCCCACTCTTTAAAAGAGTTACCACAAAAAAGCTGCAATAAAGTTGTACTTCATATAGTACTTTGAATTTTTTATTGTAGTGATAGAAAAATTACTTGAAATGAGAAATACTAAACTACAAATAGCTTAAAATTTGTTACCAGTAAAAAATATTGCTTTACAAAGCGGAGCAAGTTGGAAACTGCTACAATGCTATCAAAATCTTAAAATCTTGTAGAATTATGGGTTGTTTTGACAACATCTTAAAGTCTCCCCATTAAAGAACTAGAACATAGTGGTTTCTTACATGAACTTTTCAATCATTCATATATAGTGGTACAGAGGATAATTTACAATACACTTAAATAAAGTTACTAAACAAAGAATAATTCATCAAAAACTTTGCTACCACTAGAAGAATTGTTTCTACAAAATGTAGAAAGTTAGCAGTTAACTACCTTAGTCATATCTCACATGTTTGACCACTAAAATTCATTTTTTTAAAATTTAGGATACCGAATAATTATTAACTAGCAAGGCTTCAAAACTACTTTAAGATCTTTTGAAAAGCAAAATAAGGTAACAAATGAAAAAAATTTTTGGTGAGTTTTACAGCATCTAAAACTTTATTTTTGAACAAGACATACTGAATAATGTAACTTACTTTGTCACAAGAGGTATTTTTTTAATTTTTTTTTAGTGTTATAGCGTAATTTTAAAAACCATAATAAAAATAGAAACATTGTTAAAAAAGAGCAACTACTTACAATGGTCACCCTCTCATTGTGGTTTCTGGAGAATGGATAAAATGCACCCAAAGCTTGCCACCTAGCACACAATTCAGCGGTAGTGTTTCCATTGAATCCACAAATGTCAGAGCCAATCATTGACATTCCATAAAGATTGAAGTTTATAGTAGCTATAAAAATAATTAAAACACCTCATTTTAATTACAGAAACTTGCTAGTTAGAGTAAATAGGATTATTTTCAAAACATAAAAATAATTAAAAATTGAAAAAATAAAAGAATCATGATTTTAATTACTGAATTGAATATTACACAGAGAAACGAATTACATCATAAATTATATCTATCTTTAAAATTTAAGTAAAGAAGAAAATAATTTCAATATCAAATTAGCTACATAGTTGACATGATGTTCTCTCCAAGTATTTTTAGAAGGGCTGATCGTCCTACCTGCCCTTTGATCCCTATACATGCACTATCCATGCCCTTTTTGTAAAAATAAGCGACCATCCCTTAAAAATACTGTCTTTTTATTTTATTTCTTTTCAAGAAAAGGTTGTCTTCTTAACCTTCCCCTTTCACTTCACATGAAACCTAATCTGTGGTGTTCACCCATAAATCTTATCCAAGATAAGCAACCCCTTCTACTTCCTGGAAAAAGCAGTTTCAAACAGCTACTTTCTTTTTTGAGAATACCAATTGCTGCCTTTATGAAATTTCAAGCCTATTGATGCACAAAATTAAGGATTACACTAGGTGTTATACCATACTTGCTTCCATACAATCAAAATCATTTTTATAATAGAGAAGGTTCCTTGTTTTACTGTTCTAAATTTGAATATCGTTTCAAACCTTAGTTTTTTCTGTGCTTTATCGAGACCAAAATATTAATAATGATAAAAAATAATGAAGAAGGAAACAAAATCATAAAAAAGATGAATTAGAAAAAAGCAACTTAAGCTGTAATTTTAAAGTAAGGTAAGTGTCCAAGATAGAACATGCTTATTTTAATTATTACATGGAGAATTACTTTTGTCTTCAAAAGACAATTTTCAAGTTCACTGTTTTGCTCCTTTCTTTTTTTCCCTTTCAGTATACTCAAAATAAATTTAAATTGATTTCATTAATTAAGCATATTTTCATGTATTACAACTAAGATAATTATTCCCAACATAAATGTTTACAGTTTTCTTTTTTGCATAATTCTGAAATTAACTTAAATCTTTTGAGAAATTACCTGTTGGCAATTTAAAAGATAAAAGCATTTAATATTCGTTCTGATTAATACACATTGTTTATTTTAGCACTTCACTTTAAGTGAAATATTTTTTCTTTATTTAACAGCTCTAGTTATCAAAGATTTTATATTTATTAATATATTTTATTTATTTTTTCAAGACTATGTTTAAAAATTTTTCTTTGAGAGGTGCAGTTTTGCAATTAATTGGCAATTCAACTTTTTTTTTTTGATTTTTACATTATACAGTGTCCATTTTGCTAACACTATAGCTTAATTGACTTCCATTTTCATTGTTACTCATTATTTTCGAATGCAACAAATATTTTTTTCACTACTTCATGCCTTTGTTTTAAAATTTGTTATTAGTTAAAATAAACAATTAATTGTTACACAGGAACTCTGGTCAAGCATGTTTCGAAAATTGAAATCTAGATCCATCTATCCAAGTAATTGATTATTCTCAGTTCAATTTAATTTCACTTTTTTCCGTTTAGTAATTATTTTGCTTCTGATTACTTGGTTTAGTTTAGAGTATAGTCTTGAGACAAGAGGGTACTGAATAGAGTGAATCTTTATTTAGAAGGAATGAGCTACTAAAAGCCTGTTTTGCTTGATTAAAAAAATAAATAAATAAATAAAAACTATTTTGGAATTACGTTAGCTTCAGTTATTGTGGTGGGAAGCGCCTTCTAGTTTTGGGCATGATTTCCTAGGGTGGATTGAAACTGATTCATTCATCACTTACCTTCTTTTACCCAGCACAAAGTATGGGTATTTAGGTAACAAATTAATAAATCTAAACCTTTATCAATCTATTTATTTTTTAACAAGAATTTTACGTATTTATTTATTATTTTTGTAAACTTTTATGGGATTCTCATCATTGACACAGGGTGCGTAACAAACTCTTTCAAGAAAAAATAAACACATTTTAAGTATATTTTAAGCACTTAAAAATATTTTTAAGCACTATATACATTATCAAAATACAAAATAATTTTCAAAGACTTTACATGATCATGATAAAATAACTATTTTCTGCCAAAGAACTCTTTTCTTGATTATATTAGTGACCACAAAAAGATCGAGAGATTTTTTGCTTCGATCTTAGAGGCTATAATGAAGTCTGAAATTGAGACTAAATTGCAAAATGCAGCAGAGTGCAAGAATCTCACCAAAACCAGCTCAGTATATGCACATGCGGACATGCAAGTATTTCATTAAACATGTTAGAAACGACGGTATGCCGAAAAGAACAATGTGGATACCACTCTTTTGCAAGTGAAAATCGACAAGATAAAGGAAAAAAATGCACTTTTTAAAAACACAAAAAGAGCACCTTCAAGGGCTTTTAAAAACGAAAATAAGCACCTTTAAGCATTTTTTAAAAATGCTACGCACCATGTGACATTATTAAAAAATGAAGAATAAAAGACTAACAAGGAATGGTGTATCTCATATCTTCCCAAGTTGATGCAATGTCTCCACTCCAGTGTCCACTGTGGACGCCCTGTCCAGCAAAGGTAGCTCTGGATATTATGAAAGGTCTCTTCTTGCGTACACTTCTCAAAGCTCTATTATAAATAACAAAAGAAACAAATAATCATTTATTTAATAAAATAAACAAAAATCAACAATAATCATAACAAACAAATAATCATTCACATTAGTTTAGGCATAAAGACATTACATTATACACTAAGTTAAGATCACCAATGGGATTATGAGGTTTGTGATTCGTTTATTTTTGTAGACAAGATAGGAAGAGGGATATAAGCAATGCTTACTACATAAGATATTAAAACCTCTTTATTTTCTATTTTTTAAATATAAAAATTTAAAAAAATACAAAAAAAAATTATTATAAAAAAATTTCAAATTGGGAATTAAATTTAGGGAAAAAAAATTTCATTCAATTCTAGGGAGAAAAAAATTTTATTCAATTCTTCATTTCAAAGAATTTCATAGGTCAAAAGATTTGACTGCAAAAGGAAAACGTGAAAGATTCCTAAAGAATATTTTACTCAAACTTTTATAAAATCAATTAAAATGCACATTTTTTCACAATATGTTTGATTTGAAATTACAGTAGAAGATCTATATAACACAATTCTATAAACTACGATTCACCATCATAAGACAAATTAGCTTTGCAGGGGACATAAACAATAAAAATTTACTTCTGTAACTAAGCAAAAACTGCTAACTGCTCACAAACTGCAAGGAAAAGTATTTGCTAAAACATTACTATCTCAAAAACAAACCAAAATTTATAAATTTGTCCATTGATAGTTTGAATGTAATTCAATTATTTTTCTGCAATAATAAATAATTTCAAAAGTAGGTAAGTTTGATGATACATGATATATATTACACAAAATTCTACATAAAATATGGTCTCATGGTTCAAGGTTTACATCATAAAGCTTTTCTACTATAACAGGGTGCGTAACCAAATCTTTCAACAAAAAATAAGCACCTTATAAGTACTTCTTAAGCATTCAAAAAATAATTTTAAGTACTATATACATCAACAAAATTTTCAGAAACTGTACATGATCATGATAAAATAACTAGTTTCTGACAAAGAACTCTTTTCTTGATTATATTAGACACAATAAAACGATCAAGATATTTTTCTGTTCAATATCAGAGGGTGGAAAATGAAGCCTGAAATTGAGAATATCTTGCAAATTGCAGCAGAGTTGCACATGAGAGTGCAAGAATCTCACCAAACCCAGCTCACATGCAGACTCGCAGGTATTTCATCAAACCTGTAAAATGATTGGCGTTTTCTTACGCTATGGACCGACGATGGGCCGAAATAGATTGTGGTTGAAAGATTGTGAAAATGCTGAATAGAACAATGTGAAAAGCACGCTTTTGCATAATACATGGCAAAAATTGACATTCCCTTTTTGAAAAGAGAAAATTGGCACTTTTTAAAAACACCAGATGAAAAATGCACCTTAAAGGACTTTAAAAAAACTAAAATCGAAAATAAGCACCTTTAAGCACTTTTTAAAAACACTTCGCATCATGTATAATCCGAAAATTAGATTACTACAATAAAAATTAATGTTAAAGCTAAAAACAAAGGAGCATTGTGACTCTCTTACGTAGACATAAGGGAAGATTGTGATTTGCTTTTTTTAGGGGAAAAGAGGAGTCCAAAATCGACAGAAACATACTTATGTAATAATTGAAAAAAAAAAATTTTAAGAAAAATGATAGTATGACAATAATGTGCATTCTTACTGATTAGTAGCCATGGCTTCTCTATAGCCTAGTAAGTTGTGTTCATTGTAATGAATTGTTTTGTAATGTTTAGCAGTCATGCAGGCAGTTTTGTGACGAAGCTTCTCACCAGTTCCAGGCAAATAAGGAGGATCTTCAAAAGTTGACTCCATACAGCCATCTATACCTCCATCTACAAAGTTTGAAGGCTCATTCATGTCCTAATGTGGTAAAAAAAATCGAACACTATATACTTAAAATTAGAATTCCAGTAATTTTTAGTCCATGCTACAAGCAAACTATAAAATCCAACACTGTAGGCAATGCCTATGATTGATCAGCTAAGTTCGAATCGATTAAAACTTTCCCATGTAGCCTAGGCATTGTATATAAGCCCAAATTATGAACCGGCAAAGTATGAACATGATTATTTCATATTTTTATTTAGTATAATTAAATTATATTATCTGAAAATAAATTTCTTGGTGTAACATGCAGGTTCAAATTTACTTTCTTTTTCTTAAAGGATAAATGGATAAAGAAAAGGGATAAATGTTTAGTAAATAGCATGTATTATTAATAAAAACCGGATTTTTATGGGTTTTTTTCTCCCTTTTTACTGTTATGCTGTGTAAGGACAATCTTTTTTTGAGAATATAGGATATTTATTTTCATTTCAAGGCATCATTCAATTTAAGGATGTTTATTTTCATTTTAGACCACTTTAGGTACTTTTCATAATTTTAGGATTTTTTAAAAAATCCTCAGAAATGCAAGCTCATTCTTACAATTTCCACACATTTTAACTGATTTTCCCACATTTTCACCAGATAATCACTCAGCAATTAGCTAGTCACATGATAAATCGTTAATATTTTCACAACACAACGATGTACTTCTGTTTCACTTCAACTTTGATCGATTTTATGAAACTTTAACGAAAATTAAATTTTAATTTCATCATAATTATACACATCTTAATGCAATTGTTTGTTACATGAGGAAAGAAATGATGTTTTAGATTGAAAATCGTGTTTAATTACAGAGAAATTTCCTTTTGTTTTAAAATTTTTGGATTTTTTAAGGTAATAAAATTCTGACCAGTAACTATTAATAAAGACGAGATTAATTTGATTAATAATCTAGGAGGAGTTTATGAGTCATTGCCTAATATGGCCTACACTGATCTTTTCTTTCGGTAAAGGACCATTGTCTGGTATTCCTTACAGACTACACTGATGTTACTTCCAATGGGATAATATTAATATAAACCAAAAAAGCAAATAACAGCCGGGAAAGTAAAATCCTATGGATAATCAGATAATTCATTGACTTTAACAGCCAGCTTCTAAAAACCATCAAATTAATTCCTGCAACTTAGACTTAGCCTTTACTTAAAAACACTACACAGTTATCACAAGCTACAATTCTTTGATTACCTTTATTTACAATTGAATGTCCTAGATATTACACACTATAAACAGCAGTCATTAAAAAGCAAATGTCAACATTACTCGCCTTCTGCAACTAATAATCATACTAATTGCTGTTCTGGATGCTTCCATCAATTATGTTAAACACGACTTTACATTCACTTTGAATGCTCTAATGAAAAGTGGTTAATTAGTTATCAGTAATGCTAACTGTTCCAATTTAAGTTAAAAAAATTATGATGTAGTAAAGAATTAAAGATAAAAATTTATATAAATTTCCTTAATTTGCATATACTTTAAAAGAATCACCTCAAGATACAATAGCTGAAATAAAGTGGCACTTCATATGAGCTTCTAAGATTCATATTCATATAAGAATTCATAAATTTTTGCTACCATTTGACAAACTTTTCCTTCAAAGTGGAGCAAAATTGCATCCCTGAGTTATAAACAGTCTGTAAACTTCTCTTACTTTCTACTATGTGTTTGAATTATGATATATCTTCTACATTACTAACACCATTAGAAGTGTTCTTTTTTCATTTGGACAAACATTTTAAGTTTTAACAACATCCCTCATGCATGAAAAATGGGACATTTTACTAGATATTTCAATTAATTAATAAAAGAAATCCTGACAGCATTTGGCATTTTATCTTGACAACTTACAACTTTTACCACATCCTATTCATAGAAAAACACTGTAAAATATAAAAATAATTTAATATTACTTACTATCCACACACCATCAAACTTGACTTTTCCATAAAAATTTTGGAACTGCCTTGTCCAATATGCTGTAGCACTAGGATGACTAAAATCAGGGAAAACTGTATTACCATCATTCCAAACCTGTATGGGTTAGAATTTTAACAAATTAACAAAAATTAAATTAAAATGAAAGAATTATAAAATATATGAATTTCAACAATTGAAAATTTAACACATAAAAACAGTACTTGTTATAAATAAACGAAAGAATGGTAGTGATGTTAAACAAAGCTTAGAATTGATTTATAATAGTATGTGATAATATTTATGATTATGATAATATTGGAGCTGTTAATGCATTCAGGTGTTTTCCAAGAAAAGATAAAAGAAAACAGACAAGAAAAGAAAAGATAGTTTACAGCATAACTCAATATATGATGTCAGTATCTCAATTTCAAAGATTATTGAAAGTTATTAAACTTCATCATAAAACTAAATTTACTATTATGACGGTTGTTTTTAAAGTTCTTGTTATTACCAGCTACCTAGACTGCAAGAAGAGAATATGCAATGCCTGGCTATAAATCTAAAAGCTAAGAATAATCTATTACTAAAGATTTAGGTGGTGAGAAAGTCATAATAGATACTAAATAGAAATTTCTCAAAAATTTTATTGCCAGATTTGTGAATAGTTTCAAAGATATTTATATCAGATAAACTTAGTACAGATATGTAAATGATGTGTATTAATAATGTTATGTATATAAGTCTAGCATTTATTTGATATGGAATGACTTTTTAAGGTTATTTTACATAATTATCTTATGTATATTGAATATTTTACTGAGGTATTAACTATTGTACTAATATTTTACAGGTATTTATTTGATTTACAATGAATGTTTATCAGATATGCAAGGTGTGATTGAAAATTAATTCAGCCTAATCAAGAAATGCAGGAGCCAAAGACACAAAACAGTTAGAGCAAATTAAATGGTAGCAAATTTAAACCAAATTTACTTGTAGTTTATTAACAAAATGCTTTAAAGCTATTTATTAACATAAGAAACAAATTTAGTAAATTTGAACTTTTATTTTTTTCAATTTTTGCTAACTTATAATTCTATTAACAGTAATTCATAAGAAAAAGCAAAAACAAAAATTGTTTCAAAGATTAATGAGGGGGAAGGCAGAGATGACAGGGTCTAGCTAAAGGCTTCTCTGAGCTTCTGCAGGAAAAAATATGTCTCATTATTCCTTCAAAGTAGTTTTGTCACACACTGGATTAATTCAAAAGACAGTGATCTAATTTTTTGTAAATATTTCATACGGTAATAATTTTGTTATCAGTCATTTTTGGTTTAGGTAGCACGTTTCACACCTGACAAATAATTCAATATAAATCGCATAAATATTAATAAAATATTTGTTTTATACAATCATTAGACATAATGGTAAAATATTTGATATACTTTAAATAAATATATGTAAATATTATGTGCATTGAATGTCAAAAACACATTAGTAGAATATGTTTGATTTATGACTATATAATGTATAAAAAAGATGTTACAGTTTTTCCAATATTAAAATAATATTATGGACGATATCTGTTGAATCTTACTTCAGGATATTTATACAATGTTTCAAGACATTTGACTTTTGACACTACATAATTAACCAAAAAAGTCATTGGAATGAATAGTTTTTTCGGAAAAATTTCCGATTTTGTGCTATTTTGGGCCTTTGAAAGGAATGAGAAAATTGCTTAATTGTGGCAAATTTGGACTATTATGAGTTGGTAAGGACAAAATACAATATTAAATTTAAAAAATTTTAATTTTAGTTTTATTTATTGTGTTTTTATGTCTTTCAGTTTTGTGCCTGATTTCGTGGTGTTCAGCATCGCAGTTGGGGCAAAGAGGACTGGGCTTGCATACTATTCTCAGAAGACAATAGGTTCAGTCTATCATCTGATTGTTGATCCCAACGGTGTGATATTGCTACAGTGTATAATCATATATACAGGAAAGCATACAAAACAAACATAGAGGAACAAACATAGATATCCTACATGGAGTGTCATGGAATGGACTGGCATTATGTTTAATGGCTTAATGTCCTTCTATGTGTTTCCATCTAAAACAATGCTACATTAGTGATGTTCTGCTGTCTCACGTTCGCTTGTTCCATGGTGCTGTCGGTGATAAATTTATTTTTATGGATGATAACATAACATGTGTACAGAGTGAGGATATTCAATCCTCATATGGCCATCATGTTCTACAGATCTAAATCCCATTAAAAATGTGTGGGATGCTTTGGGGAGGAGTGTTGCTTTTCAATAATATCTCTGCAATAAACAAGGACACCCTCTTTTGTGCACAGACAGAGGAAAAAAACGAATTGTCCAAATAACTGCTGAATTCTGTAATGCAAAGCATGCCAAGACATCTGGAAACTTTGCCCTTCATGATGGTCATACCCCCTATTGACATCTTAATCCAGGATGCCTACAAATGGTATTTGCATTTCTTTTTAACATTCATGTCTTCAGCACAAAATGACCATTTTGTTCCTTGAACACATTAATCCATCAGAGTTCTCTCTGAGTTTTTTTCTTTTTCAGAGCACATAAATTACCTTTTTTTTATATCGTAACATTCTGGCATTCTTTTATTTCACTTGGCATTTAACCACACTTAATTTTTAATGCACTATGCAGCCATTTGTGGCAGAGTATTTACCTTTAATAAAAATTTTATTCCCTACATGCATTAAATTAAAACTTTATAAAAATAAAACTCTATAAAAATTGTATTTTAAAAAATTAACTTAAAGAAGCACAAATAAATAAGAAAGCTTTTACAATTTAATTCGCATTACATATTTATACTGAAGAACAAACTACTCTTCATAATATAAGGAAAAAAAATAATGATTCTTAAAAAAAAGTTATATGATTTTTTATATTTTATTTCCTAAGTAGTCATAAGTTTTTAGCATATTAATTTATATTTCCTACTTTTGACCAGATTTTGGTTCTAGCTTTTAATGTGTACAGACCTGCATTTTATTTTATTTACCTGCATTTTACTTATGCTCCTTTTCTGTCTTAAAAAAAATGAGACTAGAGCATTTTAGACCACAACATTTTAGAAGATAATTTTAAAAATTAATGCGAAAAATTTCTGCATTTTGTAAAATAAGACAATTAGTGAAAAGAAGACTTTTGACTAATTAGAAGACTTTTGTTTAGAAGACTTTTTGTATTAGAGACTTTTTGTATTAGAAGACTTTTGCCGATGATTAATTTCTCAAAGAAAAGAACTTTCTATACCAACTTAATTCCTTGTTTAAATTTATTCATTCTTTGAGAGCAGATGATTTCTTACACCAGACAATTATATTTAGTTCTTCAATGTTACAAATACAAAATTGTTTAAAGAAAAGTAATGTCACCTACCTTTCCAACAAATATACTGCCATTAGGGTTTTTAATGAAAATATCATCCTTAACACCTTCATCATATGGAGCATAGGTTCCGGGTTGTTCAGAATTGCTTATGCCAGGATCCTGTAAATACATCCTTCTTAAGTAAAAAAAACATTTAAAGTTATAATAAAAATTAAGTAATATTTCCTTTGATGAAACCAAGCAAAAAGCTGTTTCAAATAAAAACATTTTTTCTGGTTTTATTTCATATATTTATTAATAATTTGGATTAAAAAAAATGAATAATATACAATTACATCACACTATTAAGAAGTTTAAAATTATTACGAGCTTAAGGGATTAACACAATATTTAATTTTTTTCTTCTTCAAAATAGATCTAATGCAGTTCGACCACTGCAAAATAACGTTTTTTATTTGTTCTCATAAAATTTATTGGAATTAAACGTCAAGTCAGAGTTTGAAATAAAGGGTGGTCCGAGACCAATAAAATTGACTCGTACCTCCAAAGAATAATTATCACTGGTTCCTTGGACTGGCAATTAATATAAAGTAATGGTGTGCTGATTTTTTTAAATTTAAGTTTCATGATTTGGTTTGTATTTTAATAGCTATTATTAAACTTTTTATTTATCTTTAATATTATATTTTTATAGGAAGCACATCTAATAAATTTTTGGGTTTTTTTTATCAACATTTTAATGATGTTTAAAATTATAAAGAGCTTTAAGGTTGACACAATATTTAAATTTTTTTTCGTCTTCATAGATCTAATGCAGTTCAACCACTGCAAAATATTTATTAAAAAATTTTATTTGAATTGAACACTAAGCCAGAGTTCAAAATAAAGGGTTGTCGGAAACCATTAAATTTGACTCAGACCACCAAAGAATAAAATTATTAGTGGTTCCTTGGACTAACAATTAATATAAAGGGATGGTGTGCTGATTTTTTTTTTCTTATTTTATTTTAGGTTCCATGATTTGGTTTGTATTTATATAACTATTATTCATTTATTATTTATCTTTAATATTATATTTTTATAGAAGGCACTTCTAATAAATTTCTGGGCATTTTATCAGCATTTATTTTTTGTAGTACAGAACTTATTTTTGAAATATGGAAAACTAAGAATTTAAGTGTGCAACTATGCATCCACTGTGAAAGAATCCGCATTCTCTACAGATCAGGGTTTCCGCTACGGTAGCTTTTTTCGCAAAATGCGAAAAGACCCCTAAAAAATGCTAAAATTCAACAAAGCATTTTCGCATTTTTGCTAAAGGATTTTACTAAATTCCATTAAAAAAAAAGCTTCCACGAAAAACCATGACGCTAACATCCATGAAAAAAACTTGATCAAACAAGAAGGAGAAAAAATCTAAATATCTTTCGCAAGAAGAACCATGACGCTAGCGTTCACGAAAACCAAAATGTTTTGATAAATAATAAATGTGTTTTTTTTTTGTTATAGGTATTCTTTTTGATATTCTTGTACATTAAGCTATTCTTTGTCAGATAACTTACAGTACTTGTTTGATATAAAGTAATTTTATAAGCCTAATGGCATTTTAGCATTTTGCTAAAACTTTTTTTCAGATTTTAGCTTTTTTGCTAATGAATTTTTAGACTCAGCTTAAACCCTGCTACAGATGTATACAAAATTAATGTATACAAACAAAATTAATGTATACACTCCTTAATGTATACAAAATTAAATTAGAAATTATCATAACTTACTGTCATTATCACATAATGCATTCCATTCTTATGGAGTTCATCAACAAATTCAGGCAATCCAGCAAACTGTACTTTATCATAAGTGAAGTCTTTATACCTTTCCATATAGTCAATGTCATTCCACTGAACATCCTACATATAAAAGAAATTTGTAAAAATTTCATTTATAAAAAAAAAATAACAAAGCCTCGAAACCAATACACAAAAAAAATTGCTGCAATTTTATTCAAATATTTGGGATGAGCAAAGCGATTATTCAATAAAATATTGTAATTTTATTAAATATTTGCTCCCCTCACCAATACCCATGACTGCTTTACTATCATATTTCTTAATGACATTCAAGATATAACTACATTATAAATAAATTATTCACTAAAGGATTTCAAAACTTTTTACCGTATCAACATAGATTTAGTTTTACCAATTTAAACTTATACCATCGCAACATCATTTACAAACTTGTTTTAAAAAATCTTGTCTAGTTTTTATTCTCTCGTCAAGGAGATTCTATAGACTTAATGTGAAATAAGTTTAACATATGCTGTTTCATCAGGACTAATTGTAGCACAAAGTGTAAAAAACCTGACATTTTAATGTGCTAAAATCCGATATAAATTTTTATACCATACATGTTTCACATTTAACATGATTTTTTGAACTAGGATTTATAATTAAATTACCTTTCAATGAAGAATGTCACAAATTTAATGTAACTAATTTAAGAAAAAAAATTTATTACAAGTTCTTACAAGAATCGCAATTTTGGATTTTAAAATCGCGTAAATATGAATCGTGATAGTGGATTTCAAAACCACGTAAATATGGATCACGACATTAGATTTGAAAAAAGGTAAAATACAAATTGCAATATTGGATTTTTAAATCCAATATTGCAATTTGTATATTGCGAATTTGTATATTGCGAATCGCAAGGCGTAGCTTTTAAATCACATATAAATACGGAAATCGATGTTTGATATTACAAGCGCATGCACACGAATCGTGACGCTGAATTTTAAATTCGTGTGAATACGAATCACAATACTGATTTTTAAAACGTGTAAATACAAGTCACAACATCGGATTTTTAAATTGCGTGAATATGAATCAGAACGTACAACTTTTAAATCTGGTAAATACGAAAAATCGATGCATGATATTAAAATTGATTATGATATTAAATATTTTTAAATCAAGTACTTTAAAGTCAGTATATTTAACTTAATTTTGTTACATATTTATATTGTTGTTATTGAATTAACTTTTTCTAACCGTACATTACTTTCAATACGAAATTTCAAGAAAAATTTCATTCGATCAAAGCAACAACAAAAAAACTTTGCAAAAAGTGGCTATTAAATGTAAAAGGAACTATCGATATTGGACATTCGACTCATTAGGTTTGTGGAAAAAGTGGCTACTAGCTGAAAATTTAAAATTTCAGGTTTATCTTTAACCACAGGTTTTGTGAATAAGTTCACTGTCTGCAGAAAGACTCTGGAAAACAGAATTTTCATTAAAATGTTCTACAAAGATTTGTCATAACATATTGTCTAACAAAATGCCAAGATACATCAACATGTTTGCTTTAAAAGTTCTCAACTTCAGATTTAGAAAAATGAATAGCAGCACTGTTATCAAAAACAATTCACAGCTTGGTATGTTCATGAGTTTTTTATCACTTAACACATTTTTTAATCCCATCAACTCCTTGGCTGACTCAGATAAAGAGATATGCTCAGCCCCAATGGTAGAAATTGAAACACTTTTCTGTTTAAAGGTTTTCCAAACAATAAGAATACCATCGATATATACATTAGTCCCTCGTACTGACACTTTGTCACCTCTGTTTGATGATAGGTCGGTCTGCAGTGGGGAACATAAACTTAGGTGTCCCTCCCCCCTGCAAGATTTATAAATCTATCTCATGCAGAACTTAAATATTTTAAGATTTTAATATGAAATATTTATATTTATTTCAATTTATATACTTTAATTTAAATTATTCTAATTTTAATTAACAAATAATTAATAATTACGATGGAAAAGCGGAATTTAGAAAAGTACTAAATTGGAACATTGTATGCACTTAACTGCTACATTCAAATAAAATTCATCTCAATAATAGGAGAAAATTATTCACTTTATTATAATAATATATTCAAAGTTTAATTAAGGGTTAGTATTATTCGAAAAGTGAAGAAATTTGCAAAGTTTTAACAAATAGTATAACCAAAAAAGCTGAGCGCTTATGCGCTTACAGATTAAACTGGAAAAAATGAGGTATAGAAAAAGAATTGATACAGGAACTGAACTTACAATAGGAATTCCATAGTCTATATTTCGTTGAAGTGTTTCTTTCGTTTTATTCAGTGAGTTATACCCATAGCGACAAAGATGAAAACCTAAACTCCAATAGGGAGGCAAGAAAGTTCTACCAATAACATTGGTATATTGTTGCACAACATTATCTGGAGAAGGACCAAGGAAAATAAAGAAATCCAAAACTCCTCCAATTGGACGGAATGTAATAGCAGGTGTTGGTTGAAGAATAACGTCTGAAATAGTAAATATAACTTCTTATCTTTAAGTTACATATTTAAAATAAAACTCTTAGTTTCCTTCAATGCAACATATGTGATAAAAAAATTCTTCTCAGTTGAATTTTAAAAAATATTTATTATACTTAGGATTTTATTTCACTGATCAACTTTAAGACAAAATTCCTTTCATTAAATGTTTTTATGAATTACAGTAGAAAATCTGTATAATGCATTTCTGTAAATCACATTGACTTTGTAGGTGTAAACAATACAAATTGCAGTTAAGAGATTTCTGTAACTGTATATGAGCTATACTTAATTTTTACATTATTTGTTTAATTATTTGTTACATAATAACAATTTCATAGCCTAAGATGATCAAAATTGTGGTTCATATTTTCAAGCATTCATATCTAAAAGTTATTTTAGAGCATTTTAAGATTGATTTGTTCCAGAATAATATTGTTGACATGTTTAATAGGTAATTTTAAAGATGCGATCCATATAACACGAAACTCCATATAGTCCAGAATATAAAAATTAAGGATTAAATTGCCTCCAAATTTAAGGACATTTTAAGGATGCTAATTCTCTAATGGGAGTGATTTCTAGGATACCAACATGGATTCGCAGATATACAATTGGTAATAGTTTCAGTAGTTCCAGCAATTAAGCAAAAAAAGAAACATTTATAAGAAAAATCAGATTTTTTTTTTAAATTACACAATTTCTTTCAATACATATATACATGTAATTCTTGTTGTAGTTCATTTACATAGCACTAGAGCTGCACAATTGGCTATTGGTGACGGTCTGGGAAACATCCCTGAGGATGATCCAAAGACATGCCATCACAATTTTGATCCTCTGCAGTGGGGATGGCACCCCCGCTTTGGTAGCCCGATGACCTGCAAGCGAGATCTATCACTTTACGGTAGAACAGTTTAAAGAGGATCAATAACGCACACTCTCAGTCCCTACGCAGACTAATCCAAGTGATCACCCACCACACTGACAGCAGTCAGTGAAAATAGCATAAATACAGAAAATTGTTAAGTTGTAACAAAATATGAGGATTCTCTCCTGAAAAAAAATAGAGAATAATATAGTGATGGATCAAGAAAAGAGAGATATGTGGTTTTTATACATTTCTCTCACATGGAATGTTCTATACCATCAAGTAAAGGGTAATTGTCTCTAACTATGGAAGTAAACTAATACCATACTTGACAGGCTATGAAGACTTAGGCGTTCATTTTGTTATATACTATATGTTTCTAGGCATATAACAAAATTTCTGAATTTGGAATTTCTTCAATTTTTTTTAGATAAATAATATTTATTCTATCTGTTTACGTAAAAAAAATGTGAAGAACACAGAAATTTCAGGAAATTTTTAATAATTAAGAAAATTTAAGAACACTATCTTTTTTAAGAAAATTAAGGAATTTTAGGACAACTATGAGCCCTGCATAAAGCCCAATGCTTTGCATTTCAAAATTTATATTATAAAGCTCTTATACTGTATCTATAAGTTATTTTTATAAAAATTGCCCGTTCGATAAAACTTTAGTAATTTTTAGAAATTGTTTTATGAGTTTGATACTAATTGTTATCATACATAAATCATATTTCCCTCATTCATTACACTAAGAAACTCTTTCCAATATCGCTGCATATACCCTGCAAACAATAATTACTTAAAATATTTAAAGTAATACATTAAGAAATAATTTCTTTTATATGGGTAAATTTATGATATTAAAAACTCATTTATGATTCAAAATCATTTCGTTACGTAATCACATTTTGGTGTTCAAAAAATACAATGGAACCTTAGTCATTTGAACTCAAAAGGGAAAACTACATAACAAAATGATTTTTAAAAAGTTTGAATTACTCAAAATTCAAATGAACCAAAGCATGATTTCATCAAAAATTAATAACTGGTTCGTATTTAACAAATATATTTAACCCCTATGTGGTCCTAAACCCATAACATATTATTTGTAAAAATGCTATTTACAAACGTTTTCTTAAATTGGTTTAACTTTACTCATTTCATTTTTTGATTTTAAAATTAATTAATTTATGAAAAACTATTTAATAGAGATAAAAAAAGCAGTAAAATTTTCTGATTTCCAGTAGATCAGATTTTGAATGGGAAAAATTTTTTGAATTACATATCTAATTTTAACATTAACATGAAAAGGAAATCCTAGGGAATCACTTCAAATAAGAATGATAATGTTATTTGAAGTCACTTCAAATAACCCAACTTCGGGAATTATCCTATTTTAAATTAAAGAGCGTCTACTGTAAATTTCATTTTAAAAAAAATTTTTAAAGACATTTATGAACAAAAATAGTCACCCATTGCATTGCTATTGAGAAGGAACACTCCATTAGCATATCCCTTTGGCTCCAAGGATAAATAAAATGGTTGACTTCCATACAGTGGATAATTTGGCTATTTTACAAAAATAAAGAAAGAAATAAAATAAAATTTATACAACAAATAAGCAATTTTAAAATAAAATTCTTCTGACTAGTCACACTATTGCTAATGCTAAACAAATTGCAAATTTATATGCATAAACATAAAAAAAAGAAGATACAACGCTGTCAATTTGAAAAGAAAAAAATAATAATACAAATTTCATGCTAATATCTAAGGTATTTTGGAGACAGAAAATTTCAGGGAATTTTACAGTCAATAACACATTTAGTATTAGTGTGTCAACACTAATATTAAAAATTTTATTCATTGTAATATTTTTTATACACGATTAACACGAAATGAAAACAAATATAAAATGTTTTTATTGTATTTCTAATATTTTTTACTTTACATTTTTGGATAATAACTGATATTGAATTCATTTTAGATAAATATAAAATACTCTTTATTTAATTTAAGAAACAGAGAGTTCTGAACTAAAAAACTGAAAATGTTAAAATACTGGGGGGAAAAAGAAAAGCTTCCTGACTACCATTAATGAAGGTTACATTATCATTTAGAAATAACACTAATTAAAATACTTAAGCAAGCAATAAACAAAATAAAGATTTATTTTGGTAGAAATTTTCTAATTTGAGTTATTTTTCTGAAATATATAAATGAGAATTATATATCAAAGATATCAATATATCAAAGTAGAACTTTTATGATCAATTTCAGTTTGTTGCTAATAGTATTTGAGATGGATAGATGGCCTAGAAAAAGACCTTTTAGTCTTAAAAACAAGAAATTGGAAGGCACTAGCAAAAAAAAAGGTTAGCCTGGAAAAAAACTTCTTGAAAAGGCCAAGGCCCACCATGGGCTGTCAAGCAAGTTGTGATGATGATGATCTAGATTACCAAATCATTCACTGGAATTGTTCAAAATGTTTTTCAAACAAGTTGTGAACAATTGGGGCCCGATGACATGGTACATAGTCATCCATAAAAATTCCATCGTTGTATGAGGATGTGAAGTTCAAGAATGACTGCAAGAGCTTTTCAAGTTTTGAACACAACCATTAGTCAATGCAATCAGACCGTAGAACCCAATCCATAAAAAAACAGCCCACAACATTATAGAACCACCACCAGATTGCACAATCAGGGTTGCCACTCAAATCTAGAAAAAAATTCCCTGTGTTTTCCCTGTACATATTATACACAATATATTGAGAGGAAACAATTACTGTGCTCATGTGAGAGCTATATTGGGCTAACTATATTTATTAGTTTTAATTGATGCAAAAACAGCTGAACATACTTAAATAATGCTTTAGTAAATGAAATAGTTTTATAGCTGAAATATCCCATAGATTACTCTTTGAGTGGTCACCATTTTTTAAAAAACAAAAATAAGAAACAAAATTCATTGTATTTTTCCAGTTTGTAGAGAAAAAATCAAAAATCACTGCTTTTTCCCTGTTATTTTAGGTGATTTTTAAATTCCCTGTGGAGTGGCAACCTGGACAGTGCCTTGTAGACAGCTTGGATCCTTGGTTTTGTAGAGCCTGTGTCATACTCTCCAACCAGCTCTGACCAACTGAAATCATGACTCATCAGACCAAGATACAGTTTTCCAGTCATCTAGAGTCCAACCAATATGGTAAAAAGCTATGGAGAGGTTATGACAAGCTGTTAGCAAAAGCACTTGAGTCTGTCTTCTGTTGCCATATCCCATTACAGAATGGTCAATCAGAGTGAGCATGTTGGTGTTACCAGATTTGGATTGCGGTAAGCAAATGGTGTGATCAGCAGATAAAATTTCCCACCGTGTAGTAGGAAACGGCAATTGCTGTGATAAGTCATAAGCGATGGCACTTCGGCGATTAATAATTTCGACATTTAGGACAACTTTGAATATATATTTTGGGGCCCCTTTGTATTTGTGGTCAGCAATAGCGCTGCTACAAGTTGCGAAGGGTTTTCTTGGCATTCATATGTCCAACATCATTATGGCAATCAATGTATGTTAAGTCTCTCATGGACTTCAGAATCATCACTACAGGTTTCAACAGCTCGGACAGGTGGTTCACCACTACTTTACCTCTAACTACCATTTCACGTTCAAAGTCAGTTAAATCTTGTATTGCGGTCATAATTACATCAGAAACATTTTCAGGCGAATAACTTGAACACAAATAAAATTACTGTCAGTGTTCTACCCATATATCGATTTTGTACATAATATAATTGCGACCTCTTTGTTTGCATATTGCCATCTCATGACTTTTGTCACCTCCTTGTATATTATTTAAGAGGTGTGTCATAAAAAAATCTAATTAAACCTTATAAAAACTATGAGAGTTAAATTAAAATTTGAAAATAGCATATTACTCTAATGCAGGGCAGAATATTTCAGTTCTAAAGGTACTAACTGGTCTAAAATTTTTGCTTGCCACTATTTTCAAGAAAAGAAAGAACAGTTTTTAAAATGTTAATAGAGGTAACATTAGGAATTTTTTGGTTACAAAAACTATAAAAAGGTAAAAACTGTAAAAATAAAACATATTTACTGAAAAAAATTAATAACAACACCATCCAGACATAATTAAAGATAAATAAAATAAGAATATTTAAGAAAACTTAAATATCAGAAATGATGCTTTTAACACTTCATGTTGGCATGCAGATGTTAACTGATAGTAAAACTGTAAAGGAGAACAATTTATAAAAACTCGGACCAAATCAATCCTATAGCCTCGAAGGTTACCAGAGTTTCAATCCACAGCAAGTCAACTCTAGAAAATGATGGTAATTTGATACTTAAAACACAACATTTTAAAAGACAAAACGTACTTGCCAGGCAAAGAAATTCCATCCCTAATGGCAAGTAAATTTCGCATCTCATTCATATTGATAATAATAATAATAGGGGGATTTATGCGATATATATATTTTTTTTTTGCTTGTAACTAAGCATTAAACAATTTATGCAGACTAAAAGAAAAATTTCACAATAACACCCTCCAAATAGAAAAATTAACTTCTATATCAAATACACAAAATTTTCAAATCTTCTAACCCAGGGATTTCCAACTTACATGAGGCCCCAGAATTAAAAACATGAATCAAATGGCGGGCCGCAACTTTATCAAAATTTTATGTAGACCTTTTTTATGTTTGAAAGGACATTAAATATTACTGTCAGATTTTTACAAAACAAAAGTATTGAATTACAAATCAAAATAAGAAGTAAATAACTTTAATGTGCACCTATGTATTAAGCAATTAATGTAATAAGATATCTAATTGTTAAGATATAAAATTTTAAAAAGTTTAGTATTAAAACTTACATAGTAGCACTCAAAATATTCAATGAGAAAATTGAGATTTGTCTGCTGCAACCACCAGAGAATAGATATTTACATATTAAATGTAAAATTTACAAATGGGTGTGTAAATATTTTCTTCCAAAATGAGTGGTTTCAAAAAGTTAAATCGGAGAATTTCTTTGAGAAAAATTCTGATAAGAACATGCTAAATTATATTTACAAAAAACTGAAATAAAAAAGAGCAACATACACGATTATTTTTGTATTTTAATAAATATTTTCTTGGATGCAAAACCTGAGAAATAAATTTCTTTGCACCTTTGGTATGTTAAATTTCACAGAAACGGAGAAATTAGGTTTTAATTGACGAGAAAAGTATTTTAAACCCATATAGACTTTTTACGAAAATTGTCCGCAAAAAAATGACAACTAATATATTTTAGTTCGAGGGCCACAAAAAAAGGCTTCGCGGGCCGGATGCAGCCAGTTGGAAACCCCTGTTCTAACCTATCTGAATTCTTGTATATTTTAAGAAAAGTAAAATGTACAATAAAAGTAAATAATGCTAGACCTTATTAATATCAATCGCAACAGAAATTCTGCATTTTTAATTGAAATACCTCATGAAGAGCAACAACAATAATGAAAAGTACCGATATCAAATTTATGTAAAGATAAAAAATGAACTCTTTATACAGAAAATCTTAAATAAAATTAAAAAAAGTAAGAAAGGCTGTGTTCATACAATAGGTTCTTGGTCAGAATTAAATAAAGTGATTCTTGTCCAATTAACATCTCTCAGCATAGGTCCATACTTTTCTCCAATACCATACAAATTAGGAGAGGGCAGTCGACTAGACAGTTGTAAAAACTGATCAGAGTAAACCAGTTGTGGCAGCCTTGTTTTGAAACTAAAAAAAAATTAACATAACATCCAATTAAATCATGTGAAATGTAAAAAACTAAGAAACAAAAATGTATTCATCATCATCAATGACTCAACAGCCCAGGGTGGGCCTTGGCCTTCTCAAGAAGTTTTTTTCAGGCTAACCTGCTACTGCTAGTGCTTACTGCTAGTGTTTTCCAGTTTTTAGCTTTTAAGACCAAAATGTCTTTTTCTATTCCATGAACCAATTTTCAAGTCTTTAAAGCCTTTACCAAATCGTCTCCTTGCAGTCAGTTCATGGTTTATTTCTTCTTGAGATTTCGTAGCAATGGTTTTTTACAGTTTACCAACCTGGGGGGTCAGTCTCCTGATATAATTCCCAGAATCAGGGTGCCCAGCCATATCCCCAGACACTGAGTACCCATTTCAGTCACCTCTTACTACATGCGTGAGGTACAGTGGAACTATTTTTTCAAACATGGGGTTATTCATCCCATGGGGTTATTAGTTTCATAAAATTTATTAGTTTTATAAAATTAAGCTCTAACTGATAACCTTATCTCTTTTTTAGAGTATTATTCTCAGGGCCTTGATTAACAGTGACATGGAATGATTGATATATTTCAGGGTTTAAATTATGTTTTAAAGTTCTTTGGAAAAAAAAACTTTTAACAAATTATCTAGTTTTTTTTTAAAGTTATTTATGTATTCAAATAGATAGTTTGTTCACAAAGTTCACTTTTTTTTCCCTTGGTGGTATGTAAATTTCATTTTGTTAAACCACATAAATATATCTTTAAAAAACTGGTAAAAATGTTCTTACAAAGTTCCAGAAAATGATTACTTTTTTTCTTTTAACTTACATTTTAATTTTATAACATTGCTGTGAAACTTTTTACCAATCAATGTTTCGTTATGTATTTTTTTAAAATTTATCGAAAGATCAAAGGCAGGGCAGTGACATTTAGCTTTGATGATTGCAGTAGGCTCAAACTGGTGCTAGTATGAGAATATCCCTTCAAAATCATTTTTTACAGGTTACATGATTTATAATGTTCAACCTTACAACTAACTTTGGATGAGAAGAGTATTTCTAAATTTAAAAACAGTCAAATCTTGATATTACAAACTCAAATGGAGGCGTAAAAGTTTTGTGACTTCAAACATTAAATCTTGCATAGATATTTTTACTAAAAACGCTGATAACATTCCACGGAAAAGTGCTATTTAAAAAGAATTTTTGCATTTAACATTTTTGGATTTCTATTTTCAGCTTTTTTGGTTTTTTACCAAAATTATTCCTACAGTATGAATCAATATTGAGTTTTAAAAAAATAAAATAAAAATTTCCAAATTAAAATGGCGACAAAATGGTTGAAACTAATTACAAGAGTTTATGATTTGCTTGCAGAGATTTTTTTAATTTTATCAAAGTCTGTTTGTCTCCCAAAAGTAGTGAAATAGTAACATTTTAAAAGTAGTTTGTAATTACTACAATTCAAAAAAAGTTGTTACAATTAACTAAATTTGTAATGAAGTAATTGTAGTTAACGGATAATAAAATGTAGTTTTTCCAACCACAGGGAATTAATAATTCTGACAATTTCTTTACAAACATTCTTATTAAAATTTTAAGAAATGATTCATATAACTTTTCTGGAAGTGTATTTAAAAATTGAATTTAAAAAAGAATTTTAAATTCTTTAGTAATCAGGAAAAAAAATGTTTGTTGATCCAAAAATATTTGTAAAATTAAGGGTCACCGAAATACATATTTGGCTAAAAGAGGTTTTAATATCCTAGTTCAAGTATATTATGTTCTCTTTAAAATTAAGTCAATTTTAGGCTACTGCATTTCAGTTTATTAAACATTAAAAATAATTATTCTACACCCAGATGTTTAGTAAATATGTCTGTGTAGTATTTAATCTATTTTTTGAAACCATAAAAATAGTTTTATATTAAAATTTAAAAAAAAAAAAAAACTTTTAACAGTATGGTAAACTATAACTTCACACATTATATATAACACTATAACTTCACATATAATTTCATTTAAAAAATAACAATACTCAATAATAATTAAATAATCAGTAAACTAAAAGAACAATAATAAAGTTAGAAATAGTAACAGAATGAAAACATTAACATTATAACTTCACATATAATTTCCTTTAAAAAAATAATAATACCCAATAATAAGTAAATTAAGAAAGAAAAATAATAAAGTTAAAAATAGTACAAAAATGAAAATAATTAATAAAAATTGTCATGATTTTTCATAAATATTTAATTGAAGAAAAATATAAAGTAAAGTTTTCTTACATAACAGTGCCAGTGGATTTGCGCGTCACAAACAAGTTACTTTGTGAATCTATATCTATAGAATATAAAGGTTCTGTAATATCTTTTAAATCAGCATTTATGTAAATAGGAACTTCAAAACGAGTGGCACTAGAATCAGTTATCTGAAAATAAAATTTACAATAAATTTTTAAAAAAATTTAGTCAATCAAATTCATTTATTTCAATTTTAGCAATAGCAACAAAATTTTCAAGAGCAAAGATGAGTCAACAAGTCTTAATAAACGTAAATGAAAATTATAGACACATGATATACATCTTGTGAAGAATAATTAATGTTTTTAAAAATTAGACATAATAATAGGTCCAAACTGCCATAAAAATAACAGAACCTTCACAATTATGAAATTAAGAAACACCACAGATATTTTCTCAAGAGGTGGAACCATGGAAGATATATTCCAAACATTTTCTGAAACTTTCTCTTTTTTATTCTGTACTTCTCAAATAAATTTTCAAAATTTCCTCAAAAATTTCAACAAATAATTTAGTTACAACTGATAAATCAAATTTTAAAAAAAAATTAGAAACTATTTAAATTAAATTTACAAATAAAAAAAAGCAGTGAGTTCTAACACTTAAATTTTCTTTGGATATTTGTATCTAGATCTATAAATTAGGAAAATTATTAATTAATTATTATCATGTTAAAAAAAATGCAAATTTTGTCCTTAATCAAAGTAGATTCAATATGACACATAACAAGCGTCATTCGTAACTCTTTAAAATAAAACTTCTAGCACATGAATCATGTCTATTAATATTAATATTTTTCTTTCTTCATCATCACATAAGAATACAGTCTTCAAATTATCTTGATGATAACAACATATTAACTTTGTTTTTACAAAATTTAGCTTTTGTACGATGGCAACTTTAGTAAGCAGTGTTTTTGCTTTGTATTTTTAAAAGAAAACTGTTTTTGTTTTCGGGGAAGGGGGTAATCAATCTTCGTTTGTTGAATTAAATATACTCCAATCATTTTGTAATTTTATTTTAATAATATATCTCACGTATTTACGACAAGATAAAGCTCTACAGAAGCAGCCAACACTTATTTCAAATATGTACCTTAATTCTGAGTGAATTATTATCCAATAAAGTAATAAGTAAAAGTAAATCCGAGGCATCTTTAGGAAATCCAGATGGAGTGTTTCTTCTTAATCTCGCCCTTATGTGCCGCCCATCATGAGATGAACTGTAGATTGAATATCCATTATAATCGGATGGGTAATAGCAATAAGGAACATTCAGAGGATTTACAGAATCATTATGAGCAGAAACGGGATGATAACAGCAACCACGATTTAGACACTCTTTTTCGGAAACTGGATAATCAGGAAAACAATCAAATTTTTCGATATCTGGAATACCGGAACAAGTAGCGTTAACTTTCGTACCAGGATCAGAAACTCGGCAGAAAAGTAGAATATGATTCCTCTGATAGTAATAGGTAACACAAAATCCGAAGAAAAGTATGCTACTTATGGCTATTATATAATAAATAAGTCTAGATTTAATTCTTTGATTTATCTCTTCAGATTCATGAAGCACATGAATAACATTATTTTCTTGAGGTGGATCGACCGGGGTAAATTTTCCCCTTGGATAAGTAGCAGATACCATTGTTGCGAATGCAACGGGGTCACAAAGTAATCTGAAGCTTCAAGCAATTAATGTCACAGACAATAAAACTAAAAATATCATTTATCTATTTTCCGGCCAGATAACGAAAACATTTTATGACGGAACTATCATGTGCACTTGTTTGGTGGAAATGTAGTTGTAGAATAGTGTGACCTTGGCTTATAGCTTTCTATTTTGATTAATGAAATTTATGGTTGAGGCTAAATAGATAGCAGAAAGTTGCTATGAAAAGTCAGAAANTGGAAATCTTTAACTACTTTATCACAGATAATTAGAATTATAAAATGTCGTAAACGCTTCTAAATACATTGATACAATATTATAAACAGAAAAAAATTATTTAAAACAATTAACTTACTTTATTTAATGAATCATAAATAAAGAGCTTAGTATTACACTCACTAGCAATCGAAGCTACACTTAATTACACCTGTAAGCAACAAACTATGTGTACCTCCGCGCAATCTCTTCAACAGGGTTACTTTTCGAAATTATTTGGTGAAAATTAAATTCTAGCCAAGCATTTCAAGCGCATGCGCAGTTGCTCAGCCGGTTGTACCCACAGACATAAGTACTTGTTTGGTGGAAATGTAGATTGTAGAATAGTGTGACAAGCTCTTTGAGTTAGCTTATAGCTTTCTATTTTGATTAATGAAATTTATGGTTGAGGCTAAATAGATAGCAGAAAGTTGCTATGAAAAGTCAGAAACAGAAACTGTATTTTGGCTTCAGAGGACGCAAAGAAAATTTTCGTCGAACATTCTCTTACTCCTCCATAACTAATTTAATATTTAAAGTGTAGAAAAAGTGAGTTCAGTCAAACCTAGAGAGAGCTATGAAGTTTCAAATACTGAAAGGAAAATTTTAAAATATGCAAATTGAAATAATTTATGAGATGATAACTTATGGATTACGCAACAGAGAAGTTCTCTTCTAATAATTTGTTTGCATTTTAATATTTTGAAGTAATTTTAACAGCAATTGAAACTTCATGACTTACTCTAGGTTTGCCTGAACTTACTTTTTCTTTCTTTTAAATTAGTGATAAAGGAGAAAGCAGGGCCGGATTAAGAACCTAAGAGACCCTAAGCACTTAAAAATTTTTGATGTTCCTTAAATCTAATTAAAAACATCAATACGAATATAAAATCTTTTTCTTAAATAAGTAAATTGAAGAAAAAAAATAATAAATTTATATCACTGTCAAATTTAAAGCTTCTTGCCGAGGATCTGATGGAAATCAAAATTTTTAAATTAATTCTTTGAAGGGTTATTACTTGTGTTGGTCATTATTAGCAAAAGATAATTTAGAAGCGACGCAGTGATTTCGAATCGTAACATAAAAAATTGTACAACAAACGCTGCTTGAGAATCTGGAGAGTTGCGTTGAAGTTGCCATTAGAGTATTGTTCTTTTGCCAAATGTTACGAAGTATAGAGTAAGCAAGTTTGATTTTCTTTTTTTTTTCTTTCTGATCTCCTTCTTTAAATCGTCCAACCTGTATTCCTTTATTGTTTTATTAGAATTACATACATTTGCAGGCTTATTTGCTCAATTTAGGCGAATAAACCTTTGTCAAGTAGAAGAAGAGATAGAACAATTTAGAGAAGGGCATAACAAAGAATACATCCAGGGTTACGGTGGAATTCGAACTCGCCACCTCTACGCTTTGCACAACGTTTCATTGGAGATCGGCAAGGGAGGAGCCAACCTGTATTCCATTTTACAGAAGTAGCAAGAGGGTGTACGCTAGTTGTTTTAATCTTACCATCAAAACTAATTTTACAAGAAACAATAAACTTCTGAAAGTCATTCTTAATAATTTAGATTTATT